GAGTGAGTTCAGGTGAAAAGCTGACGCCCTGAAAGCCAACCTCCCTCGTCTCGGGAGACGCAGCCACACACGAGCACTGTCAAGCCCCGGGGCTGGAGCCCGGCAGTTCCAGCGGCTCCTGCCTTCCCCACCCCAGGTGAACCTCTCGACGGAATGGAGTAGCTGACGAAGTGCTTGCGGGGCATGGAGGTTCTCATAGATCGCTCTGGGTCACAAGAGTCCCGCTCCCCGGGCCCGCCTCCCTCCCACCCCACTAATGGCCCCCCACCTCAAATGCCCACACTGGCTCCCCACTGGGGTGCCCAGAGCAGGGAGAGCGAGGTGGCCTTACCTCCTCGAACCACAGCAGCGGCAGGACCACCGGCTTGATCTGCCCCGTTTGTCTGTAAACGAGCGAGATGGCCCATGAGACGTTCCGTCAGGCAGGCAGCGCTGGCCGTGTGCCCACCGGGCAGGAGAGCTCTGAGCGACAGCCCCATCGGGACTGAGGAAAGGGAGCAACCCGACGCTCTCACTAGCTCGCTGTGTGACCTCGGGGGCCCACTCACCCTCTCTGCGCCTCCTCTGTAAAATGGGATTTAACGGAATCCCTCACAGGGCACCCGTGAGGACGGAGGAACATGTACAAAGGACTTAGAAAAACATCTGGCAGGGAAAAAGTGCCCCGTGCTTATTGCCATGGCTGCTGACATTAGATGCCACAAACAGTGGACACAGAGTCTCCTGTTCTTGGGTGTGCTGAAGGGCGCAGCTACACGGGGCAGCGATGGAACACGCTCGGGGGACGGGGACCGGACTCGGCACAAAAGGCCAGATCTTCAGTCACAATCCCCAGACCTCTCTGGGGCCGCCCGTGAAGCAGAGCACTGGGCTGCGACAACTTTACGCAGCCTCCCCTGAGAGAGGCGGACGCAGAAAACAGAGAAATAACAGGGAAAGGGCTGTTCACCTTGGCCTTTTTACCTGTCTTTGTAAGAACCTATGGAAATTACATGCAAAGCGCGCTTTATCTCGAGATAAAGATCTTGTGAGCAAACAGCACCAAAGTTCCTGGATGAGCCACCGTTTATCAGCTCTGCCCCGCCCGGCCACTGCCTCCCGAGACCTTCCCCACACCCATCCCTCGCTGGCCCTCCAGATGGCATTAGGCCCTGCGGGTGAGACCAGCTCCCTTGAGGCCACTGCTCCAATTGGCAGGAGCCATCTGGCAGCTGGACAGACGGGGACACAGAAGCCCAGGGAAGCAGCCTGACGCCCGCAACAGGCAGAATCCAAGCATACTGCTGGCTTGAGCCGCCTTCATCAAGAATGTGAATTTGCTCCTAACGGGTGAAAATGGAAGGAGCACGTGTTAAAATCCAGATCTTGAAAAATGCATTTTCTTTGAAAATGCGAAGGATGAGGCCACCTTCCTCGGGCCCCAGCCCCGTCCGGCCAGCCCCGCTGCCCTGTCATCTGCCAGTGAGCAGACCGGGTGCCAAGTTCCCTGGGCCGGGAGGTCGAGCCTGGGCACAGACACCTGGTGAGCACACGGCGCCATCTCACCAGGCGCAAATCCTTCAGGAACAAACCTCTGAGCAGCCTCCACATGGCACAATGAAAAGCCAGGTAGGAGTGACAGGGCCGATCTCTCCAGCCGAGAGCCCTTTTGCGAAATGGAACAGATGCCCACATTCTTGCAGCCCAGAAATATTTCTAGGGGATTTTTTCTTTTAATGAAACTATTTCAAATATGCTAAGAAGTACAGACATCGACATAACAAGGAATCAGGGCACCCCGACACCCCGCTCTGCGAAAACGTAACGTTATACCAAGACTGGGAGACGTCAAGCTGGACCCCTCAGTGCCCTGCTGGTGGGCATGCAAACGGGGCGGGTGCTGTGGGCAACAGTCTGGCAGCTCCGCGGGTGGTTAAACACAGAGTTCCCACGTGACCCAGCTATCCTGCCCCTGGGTGTCTACCCAAGAGAAATAAGAGTGTGTGTCCACAGAGAAACTTCTATGTGAATAGTCACAGTAGCATCATTCGCGATGGCCAAAACATCAAAACGACCCAAATGTCCACCGGCTGATAAATAAAACTTGGTCTGGCCACACAATGGAATGTTATACAGCCACCTAAGGAATGAATCACTGACGTAAACTACAACACGGAACGATCCTGAAAACATGATGCCGAGTGAGAAGAAGCCGGTCGCAAAAGCCCACATAGCGGGAGATTCCGTTTACAGGAAATGCCCAGCAGGGACGAACCCGTAGCCACAGAGAGTAGAGCAGGGGTTGCCTGAGGCCGGGGAAATGGGGTGCGCCTGCTGATGAGGACGAGTTTCTCTGTGGGGCTGATGACGGGGCTCTCAAGTGATCGAGGTGGTGGTCACTCAACTCTGTGAGCATGCTGTCATCCCCGTCCATTTTTAAAGGGCTGACTTTACAGCACGTGAACTACATCTTGATAAAGCTGTCATTCAAAGACAAAAACCCAAAAAGGAGGACAGTGCTTAAAACGCCCGTGAGGCGAACCGTCGCGGTCAGAAACGCTGTGTCTGCTGGGCTTCCCTTCCAGACACCCGGGTTCGCCAGGGTTTGACTTTTGCCACGCTGTCGCGTGGGAAAGGGCTTGGATGGAAGATTCTGACTGACCTGGGGGACGACTGTGAGAGAGAAAAGGGCATTCTGGGGCAGGAGGTCAGGATGCGGACGGGGCCTTGGCCCAGGGCTGAGACTCCATCGGGGGACAGGTGCGGACCGCACATCCAGGAGGGCCACCTCCCTCCCCAGACCCCAGACCGTGGGGACGCGGTGGGAGCCCCAGGCACCCGACCTGACCGAGCGTGCAGCCCAGCTCAGGCCCCACTCACCCGATGCCCCTGATGGCCTTGACGTACAGGCTTAGCTGCAGCTTCACAGAGCAGTTCATGGGGATGCCCGTGACCTGTGACAACACACTCGGTGAGGGCCTGGCCTCCCTGGAGCCCCAGGGACATCTGCCAACTCCCCTCTCCCTGGTCCGCTCCAGAGGGCGGGCGTTCTGGCTCATCTGCCTGTGCCCTGGGGTCCCCTCTACTCGTGCTAAACCCCAAAAGGTAAACCTGTGTTTCCCAAATGGCTTCTTTGGTCCCCGACCTCGAGGGGGCTCCCTCGAGAGAGCAGACCTCTCCCTGGATGGAAAAATCCTAACCCTTCCCGTCTGCCCTCCTGAGAGGACGCTCCCCGAGCAGAACGAGGTGTTCCGGTCACCGCCCCTCCCTCCACCCTCCAAATTACACAGAACGGTGTGCACGCTGTGCACGTGGAGACGGTGGCTCCCTGATCCACTCCCAACGCTTCTCGATTGTCTCCGAACCAGTATTTTTTTCCCTGGTGTTTATTTTTATCTTATTTTTTGGAGAATTTTTAAATTTCCGATTTGAGGTAGTGATAGAAAGCTTCCTTCGGGCAGAATCTAGTTTGTTTGGTTGTTTGTTTAAATGAGATAGTTTTTTAAAATAAATAAATAACCGAAGTGACACCTGTATAGGACCCGAAGCAGGAAGGCGGTTCTGGATCGAGACCAGAAAATGACGGTGGAAAGGAAGCTCAGTCCGAGGTCGGGGACCCCCACCCTGCTCCTCGGCTCAGGCTTGCTTCCTCGTCTGTGAGATGGAGGTGCCCCGCCCGCCCACGGGGTTCATGCAAGGGCAGAATGAGGTCCGCAAGCCCGCCACACCCAGGCCGCGAATGTCTGCGTCAGGGAAAGCCCGCATTCTGACTGCCTCCAGGCCTCAGTGGTACAGGGGAGCAGGCCAAAGGCCGTTCTCCCTTTGAACTTGAGAGTTTGAACTTGAGAACCTGGCGGGATAGCAGTGAGGTCACCCGTGTACGGAAAAGCGTCCACACCGCAGGCCGAGGCTGCTCTCCTTGCGAAAGCAGGCTGGCCAGGCCAGTCCCCGCTGGCATCCGGGAACTTGAATTCCCAGAGGGGCCCTAGCGCCCCGTCCCTGAGGAGGGACTCACTGCGCCTGGACTGTCTGTGCAGACCACCTGCTTTCCAGCAGGGCGTCTGGGATTTCAGTGGGTGCCTATGTGGCCAGCCCCTGATAAACACCTGGGGCACTGAGTCCCTAAGGAGCTTCGTTGGCAGATGACACGTTATGTGCTGTCACAGCTCGGCTGCTGGTCCTGTGTGACTCCGCTGGGAGCCCGAGCCTGGTTCCCTGTGCGCCTTTTCTCTCTGCTGACTGTTCCGTGTCCCTCGGCTGGAAATTGTCTCGACCTGAGTGTGACCACATGCTGAGTCCTGCCAGTCCTCCTGGCAAATCATCCAACTTGGAGTGGCCCTGGGGACCCCACACGACCTGCCGCCCTACTGCACTTTCGAGAACAGATTCGCTATCCCGGAGTCTCCACTCCGGCCACTCCCCCCGCTCCCCGGCTTGTTCCTCCAGCTGCTACCAGGACACCTCTTCGCGCACAAACTCTGCCTGTGCCCTGCACGTCCCACGGCCCCGGGAGCCCACTCCTGTCGCCACGCCCTCCCCCAGGGTCAGGAGCGGAAAAGCGGCCACCACGGGAGAAGCTTCCGCAGGCGGCAGGCCGATCCCATGATCATCCTGTGCAAAGTGCCCAAGACGACAACAAGAAGATGAAAGGCCACTTGGTCTCCCTGCCTGCCTTGCCCGCCTGGAGAGCAGAGGCCAGCTATGTGGCTGCTGCAAAACATCTGTGTGCACCCCCCAGCCCCCCAGACTTCACTGCCTGTTCCCCAGCGTGGGGTCAGGGCGAGCAGGGGAGAGGTCGTGCTCTTGCTGGAATTCCCCCGAAGCCAGCAGAGGGGGAGGCGTGAAACAAAGGAACTGAGAGAAAGTGCATGACCCTCTGTTGGTTTTATAACAAAAGCCTTTCATAAAAACTGGTTAAAACGTTAAGACAGTACGGAAAAGTTTTAGTATTTTTAACAACAAAGAATGAATTTCATAGAAGACGCGCAATATGTTAGTACAAATTCACGTCAACTTAAGGAATGTCAACATAATCCATCTATATTAGCTATGTATTAATAGTGGACGTCACGTAGTGAGCATGGAAAGTCTTGGTGCTGGAAAAGCTGCGTCTGAATTTAGCTCTATCCCGTACTCACTCTCAACCGCTTATCAAACTCGTGTTTAGTGAGATACTAGCACCTTGGGGCTGACTGCTAGAATTTTAGCAATTAACAAGACAGGGCAGACCTCTCTCTTATGGGGCCAACGATCCCACTTACTACTTACGTCACTTAACCCACGTGGACTGCAGCTCCCCACCTGTAAGACGGGGCAGCTGTGCCACCTCCCAGATTGCTGTGAAAATTCAATGGGTTGACCCACGCGAAAGCATCTAGCTAGTGCCAGGAGACAGAACCCCACAGAACGTTCGAATCAATGGCAAACGCCACACGAGCACATCTTACAGAGAAGAGGGAACTGGCTAAGGACGCACCCTAGGGTGGGCCACTGTGCAGGCCTGATACCCTCCCGGTAGATAGAACGTCACATGGGACAAATTCCCCAGAACCCAAGTTATCTGCAAGATAATCCGGGCTCTCACTGGTACCTAGAGATCTTTATGGCATGTTGGCGCAGCCAGAGCTCTACCTCTGGCCAATCTGCAGGCTGATAATTCCTAATTAATTTACTGTCTTATGAGCCTTTAATAATGATAACTCCCTTATAAAGAGATAACAAAGTCCTTGAACTGTGGAGTCTGAAGCCAAAGTAAGACCTTTGATGGCTTGTTATCTAGAAGCTACCAATGCCAAAGAAAGCCAGGCTTCCCACCTCTCCCCGCAATAGCTCAGTACCTGGCGGGGACGAGTGTGCACCGAGCAGAAACCCCCTCTCCCCCCACAGTCTGGCAGGCAGGGGCTCACCGGGTGGATGTCCAGGAACAGCGAATGGTCTTTCTCGTTGGGGTTGAGGCCGAGCACTGCCTCTGCCAGGACGGGGTCGGCATTGTAGAAGTGAGGATGGGAGAGAAACAAGGGTGCATCTAGAAGGCAGAGAAGGGAGAACACGTTGGCACATCCTGCGGCTTCACGCCAGGCCCCGAGGCAGACGCAGGGATGCGCAGACGATAAAACGCAGCCGCCGCCTCCAGGGCGCCCCGTGACGATGACAAGATGCAAATAACAATAACTAGACAGAGAAAATTCCTTGGTTCAGTCACGTTTACCAAGCGTCCAAGAGGCACTGGGCACTGGAAGCCAGCAAGGGACAAACTCTGTGCCAGAGGAATAGTAATGCAGGAAATGCTGGTTCTGGCAGGAGAGATGAGAGGAAGGAAGAGAAGATGCCAGGCCGAGGTCCGGGCCCGGCGCTCCAGGTGCACGGGATGGCGGAAGCAAATGCAGGAGGTGGGGAAGCACAGACGGAGCAGGCGGTGCGTGGAGGGGAGTCATGGGAGTTGAGGGTAGGCAGGTAAGTCGAGACCAGATTTGAACTTGGGTGGGAGGAGGGGCGTCTTGATCACCAAGCCAAGCGGCCTGGACTGTCTTCGGCAGGCAACACAGTGACGAGCAGAGAGGCTCAGGTGTGCACACCCGCGGCCAGGGCTCCCGAACGTCCACAGGAAGGGAGGAGACACACCCGCTCCGCTTCTCTCCCAGCAGCCGGTCCGCCGGATGGACGCCAGCGTGTGTGAACAGGGACCCTCTGAGTGAGAAATTCACACCCAGAAACGTGAGGTCAGATCTCGCGTGAGGTCTCCGCGCAAGGCCATCGCCAGCGCATCCTCGCGTGCTCAGGACAACGTACGACGCGTTAACGAGGAAAAGCCTGAGCTTACAAACACTCACGAGGACCCAGAACAGGGAGATCACGGGCAGAAGGCAGGCCGGGGGTGGCAGGGGCTGCAGAGGCGCAGAGAGGGGTGGCTGCTGATGGGGACGGGGTCCGCTTTTGCAGTGGCGAGGATGGTCAGGAACGACACAGAAGTGGTGGCTACGCAACTTCGTGAAGGTGCTGAATGTCACTAGACTGTATACTTTAAAACGGTTCATTTTGTTTTACCTGACTTTCACCTCAATAAGGAAGAATGAGAAAACAAAGAAAATTCACGAGGTCCCCTCCCCCGAAACCGACAGCCCGTCCGCTGCCAGGCCGGTGTTTGCGTTTGTGTCTGGCAACCTCGAATGTCTGGATGCTTCCTGCTTTTCTTTGCAAAGCCAAGCACTGGTTTGAAATAAAACCTGGCCATTTATCGACGTCTGACTTCATTTCTCCCAGAGTCGATCATCGCCTCAATAACGTGAATTCGGTCCTCCGAGTACTTCTTCCATTTTGCCACATACGGTTATCCGTCCCCCCCGCCTCCGCCCCCCACGCACCGTCATATAACGCGCTTCTCTGAACCAACTGCCACTGCTTCACTGAAATAGCTATACTGGGAAGCGGCTTTATATCTGGGTTTTATGTCTGAGCCATAACTGGCAAACACCTGCCAAAATTAGAAAGGAAATATAGGAATAAATACAACGGAAGCCAATGAATGCTGTACATTCATTCTAACTAGACACCAATGCCCGCACAAGGCTTTGACCCTGAGACCTGCTCTTTCTCTGTTACAAAGAGACGGGATGAGTGTTGGAAAGGTGTTCACAGCCTCTCGGCACCGACCGAGGCTTCCTCTTGGAGGTAATCAGGGGGACAGAAAGAGTCTAGGGAACAGAAGCCCTCTCTCGCTGTGTGCTGCGTAAGTCGATGTAATTTAAAGCTGCCTCCTTGCACCTTTGAAGTCACCTCGAGCGCCCGTGGGGACAATGTCCCACCACTCGGAAAATTCCCTTCCCATCCTCCCACCTCCACCGTGAAAGCAGACCATCAGAGCAGACGTGAGGACCCCATTTTACAGGTGACGAAACTCTGAGGCCCTCGGTCAGGGAGGCGGGCACCATGCCAGCCCCTGAAGGGGGCGAATCTCAAACCAGCCCCTCGGCCACACCTCCACGGCCAGGTGGAGACAGGGCTGAGCTGAGGTGCCCTCACCTGCCCTGGCTCCAGACAGTGAGCCCACGTGGTTTTTCAATAGCGTGCGTTTCTTTCTATTTTATTTCCAAACGGACTGAGAGAAACTCGCCCAGTAATTAAGTGTTAATTAATTTATAGCTTTATGGCACATTTAACTAGACCCGATTGCCCGAAATCATCACAGTGAAGACTCTATGGGGCAAGTCCGAGGCCCTTGCACAGCACAGAGGTCTGAAGGGAGAGAGTTCTCTGGGTCCAAAGAATTTTCAAGGCCTGGAAAGGGAGATAGGTGGCTATTTCTTATCTTCGGATTAAATGCCACAGAGATACAGAAACAGCTACGACAGAAGATGTGGGGAGCACGTTCCTAGCAGCACCAGGATAATGTTCAAAAAACCAGGAGCTCAGACGCCCGCGAGCGGGAGAAAGGGAGTCGAGCTGTGTTCCCAGGATGGGAGACGGGGCAGCAGTGAGGGCACCCACGACCCACGGCAGCGGGGCCGGACCTCGCCAGTGCGACACTGGGCCGAAGGGGCCGGGAGGCGACAGACGCAGAGGCCACGCTTTCCGAACCACTCACATGAGACCAAAGGCAGGCAAAGTGTGGCCCGGAAGTCAGGCCAGGGACTGGGAGGGGACGCGGGGGAGTCTGGGGCCCATACTCTTCTGTTTCTTGACCAGGGTGCTGATCACATGGCTGTGGTCACTTTGTGGGATTTAAAACTGCACAGGCCATTTGAGCAGCTCCCTATATACATGTTTACGTCAACATAATGAAAACAAAACCTTAACTTACATAAATACTTTAAAATTCCCTCCCACTGCTGAAGTTCTTTCGGCAGATGTGCTAAGATGAGGCCGTGCGGCTCAAGGGAGCAGGATGGGAAGAGATGATGCCAGAGAGGCCGGCAGAGGCCAGACCCTGCAGGGGACCGAGGCCACGCGAGGGCTTCGCTCGGGGACGTGTAGACATCGGACGCAGAATCGTGCAGCAATCCATGTTTTTGAAAGGTCTCGGGAACAGTGTCCCACAGAGCTGCCTACGACGGTGGCGTGTTCCTTCTGTGCTAGCCACCCCATACACACGTGGCACACGTGGGTGGTGGCCATTTGAAGCATGGCCAGTGTGACGAAGGAACCGCCTTTTTAATTTGATTTCATTCAAATCGATTTTGATTTAAACAGCCACACGAGGCCGGTGGTGACTGTGCTGGAGTCTGGGAACGGAGCATATGTAGGGGGGACAGCAATGTGACAGCAGGGCCCACTGGCGAGCTGCGGACCGGGCCCTGGACCGTGAGGCGGCCGGCGGGGGGCGTGGGAGAGAAGGAGGGCTGGGGGTTTCATTCGGAGGCAGAGCCGACTGGGCTCGCTGACCCAGCGGACGAGGGTGAGGAGGGGAACGGAGCTGACACCCAGGTGCCCAGCTGAGGCAGCGGCGTCTTGGGGGACTGGCACTGGGAAACATCGCCGAAGCCAGAGGCCGCTGTGCCAGCACAACCATCACGCCCGACCTCACGGTCGCGCACCGCCACACAAGATCCCACGGTCGCACACCGCCACACAGGATCCCACGGTCGCGCACCGCCACACGAGATCCCACGGTCGCACGCCGCCACACAGGATCCCACGGTCGCACGCCGCCACACAAGATCCCACGGGCCGAGCGGACGGCTGCCAGCCTCTCTTCCTCCCAAGATGGGGGGAAGGGCCCTTCCCACGAAGCCTTGCTCTCACGCTGCATGTCACGTGTGGGAGGCAGGGTAATGCTCTCCCGGCCTAGTCCCCAGACCCCGTGAAGAAGTGAGGCTCTGTGCCCAAGGGGATTTAGGCTGCTAATCCACCGCCTTAAAACAGGGAGAGCGTGGCCGAGACTGCCCGGTGGGCCCAGCATGGTGTCCGGGGCCCTTATGCTGAAAGAGAGAATTGGGGCAGTCAGAGGAGACGTGACCGCAGGGACGGGCTTGGAGGTGTGACACGGGAGTTCTGAGCGCAGAGCTAGGACCGTGACTTCTGTTTGTGGGGATTTATTACGACGGTAACTTACAAACACAGGGCTTTTTTCATGTTATCTCTCCGCAGCCCTCATTATCTCTGGCCTAATGGGATTATCGAGGGTACAGAGACCAAGGTGAAACGGGGTGAAGCAGGAAGCATGGGGCAGACCAGCCCGCCGCCCTGCCGTGCCCCGCCTCCCCCGTCCGGGTGACACGTACTGAACCTGCAGGTGCTGACGTTCTGGATCCCGGACTCCAGGCATGGGCAGAAGCCCTCGTTGGGAGGGTAGACGGTCCCGTTGGCAAACAAGGTGTTGGGGGCCTTGAAGCGATAGGTGGGGATGCCTTCAAACGTCCCCTCTTCCTCGTATATGAGCTTCATGGACCTGCGGGGACCGACAAGGTGGAGGGTGACACCCAGAACATGGTGGCTGCGACCGGGTCCCACGAGGGTGGCCCCCACTGAGCCACCTCCCCCACCTGCGCTGACACCTGCTGGGGTCCAGCCACCATCATGGAGCTTTAAACAAGAAGACACTGTGTTGCATCTCCACTGAACGACTGCAACCACTTCCGGTCTGATCTATAATTAGATGCCCATGGGGCCCAGCCCCTGCCCAGCCCTTCCCGCGCCCCCGGCCTATGTATCCGCTGCTCCCTCTGCCTGGAATGTTTGTCCCTCAAGTCCTCACACATCAGGTTTTTGAAATAAAACCTGGGCATTTATCGTTCCCCTCGGGTTCAGCTATCACGTCTGCAGGTGGCCACGCCGCACCCCACGCCCTACCCCCGCCACCCGTTCACCCTCCTGCGGTTCCGAAGGCACGTCTGCATTTGAACGTGGACTTCGGACGAGAACTGTGCTGCCCCGTGCTGTCCACAGAAGCCGCCGCACACGTGTCTCTAGAGCCCGACATGGGGCGAGTCCACACGTGGATGCGCCCTCGACATAAAACACAGGTTTCTAGGACTGGACGCCAGAAAAACGCGTAAAGCATCTTTCCAGTAGTATTCTGCATTATTTACGACGAAAACGATAGAATGTGGCTACACCGTGTCACACAGACGTATCGTTAAAATGAACTTCACTTATTTCTCGTTACTTTTTTTTACGTGGCCACCAGAGAATGTGAAATCGTGAAGGGGACAATTATTTTATCTCTGTTGGGTGGCGTCGTCCCGGGGAAAAGCGGCCCCCGGGGAGAGGAGCGGGCGGGGGGCGGCGACTGAGCGGACGGGGCAGGGGGGACACAACCTGCACAGGTGAAGGACGGGGACGTGGACGACTCGACCCTTTTCTCGCAGTTTTTCTCTCGGCCGAAGTGTCTAATTTTAACAGGCGACACCTACAGGGCACAGCTCTTCCCGCCCCGACGCTCCTGTGGGTACGTTTCCAAGTCCCCCGCAAGGACTTAATCTCCTGGGGGACAGGGACTGGGCCCGTCTCATCACGGCCGCGTCCCCGGCACCCGGCACAGACGGGCTCCGCACAGGTTCGCTGCGGAGGCCAAGGAGGCGCAGTTCACACGCGCGAACTCCCCAGGGACGAGGCCGCCTGCGTGGAACGGAGGGCAGGGTGGCGCCCAGGATCCCCTCGGTCCAGGACCCCCCGTCGGTGCCACTGGACTTGTGCAGCCGCAAGCAGACCGGGGCTGCAGCTCTGGAGACGGAAGGGGCCGTGGGAGAGGCATCCAGACGTCTCAGCATCCAGCCGGACCGACACCACAGGGTGTCCGTCACCTACTGTGCAGCCCAGAGAGGCTGCTGGCACCACCTGTACCCACGCCCAGCAGCTGCCAGAAGCCTCTCCGGGCCTTGCAAAAGCATCAGCAGCTGGAGTTTGACTCTTCGTGGTGCAACCAGAGAGCATTCAAGAGGGCGGCGGGGACGAGCAAACACACAAGGGGCTGAAACTCTTTCCAAGTGGACGGCAAAGCCCCCCGTTCGGGCCGCGAGCATCCACGAAGCTGACCTCCGCGCCCAGGAGGCCCGAGATCCCGCACCCGAGCAATTACCGGCAGGCCTCGGGGCTGTAGAATTCCAGCGAGGATTCGGGAGTCATAAATGGCGCCCACATCTGCCCGGAAGTTCCATTAATCATGTTGCACTGATCCGAATGCCAGTAGTTGACCTGCGGGGAGCAGAGAGACACAGTCGCTTAGGACGGCCGGGCCTCCGAAGGAACCTGCTGTCGGGCTGCGGCTTCACGGCCCGTGTGCCCTGGGGTCGATGCCACCGCTCGTTCCCGATGCTGTTTTTGGGCAGATGCCAGTCCCCCGGGAGAGACAGCCTCGCACGGTGCGAGGGGAACAGGCCGTGCAGAGCGCCGGCCGGAGAGGGCCGACTGCGGCTCCCTGCTCCCTGACTACGGGCCTGGAATGTGCGACTTGGCTGAGGGCTAAGATTCCTCCATCTACAAAACGGGCCTATCGCCCTCACCTCCGAGAAGCACGGCGGGAGGTGGGACGCTGACATCCTCACCTCTCAGAGAGGAAGTCACCAGACACTCCCTCAGGCCAGATACAGTCAGGAGGTGACACCCCACGTGACATGATCGGAGAGCTCAAGGCAGTAGCTGCCTCTGGGGAGCGAGGCCTGGACAGAAAAAGACAGACTTCTCCCTTCCTCCCCTCTGTGCAACCAGGACGTTTTAAATCGCTTGTGCATGTTTCCTTTTATACTGAAAAAACGAGCTAAAGAGAACTCTAATAGCCACCATCAGCACAGGGCATTACCGGTTACAGACGGCGCTTGTCGCCCTGGGCACTGGTGGAGCCGGCTGGTGCCCAGCCCGCAGGTGTGCGCGCCGACGGCCAGGCTGAGCGTTTGGCGGACACCAGCAATGTCAGTGCCAGACTGCTGTCGTGCACAACGAGGAAAGCCCGCGTCCGTGAGAAAGGCAAGGTGCGAAACAACGCACTCGGCACGACTTCACGATGCGCAAAGCAGAAAACCCCGCCATGGTTCCGTGCGCGCACGCAGGCATGCACACGGACACACGCAGGCGTGCACACGGACACACGCACACGGCAAGGACGCGTCGATGACGCCTCTGCGGTCCGGGCTGGGGCGAAGCTGGGTGGCTGGGGGCGGATACAGTGCACTCTCTGTCTGTCTCTGCCATTCCATTTTTTAAAATGTGAATGTCTTCCTGTTTCTGATGTAATTTTATTTCTTTTACTCGGTATCATCTTTTAATGCAATGGACGGTTACATCATCAGTGTCATATTTTTGAAACGTCTTTGAAACGTCAGTGCTTAGTATATATACACCAGGTGCTAATAAGTATGGTCTCCATGCCACACCCATCCACCCACCCCCCGGCACCAGGAGCTGGCCGAGCCTTCACCACAGGTAAAATGCCCCCTTCGCAGAGTGTTCTCCCTCTCAGACGGGGCTGCCCTCCAACTTTAAGAGGAAGAAGGTGCGTGGGCTGGTGGCGGGGGGGGCCCCCACTGCTGCGTCCTGCTCTTACCTTGCTGACCCCGTTCCACTTGTCCACGAGGTGAATCCGGCTGAAGTTTTTGATTCCCGTGAACACGGTGAAGAGCCCGGAATCGGAGTTGTTGAACTGTGGACCGGGCAGAGAACAGCATCTTTAAGCCTCGGGCTGGGCAAAAGGGTCTGGTGGCGGCCGTCAAACCCCCGTTCAGGCACATGCCCAGTGCCTGGGGGTCGAGGCGGGCAGGGCCTGGCGGCTTCCTAGGAGGCACACTACACTCTCCTGATCACAGCGGCCCTCCTGGAAAGTGTCCGCCTTCCCTTCCCGCCTCTGCTTCTCCTTCCAGGTAGCTGGTTGGGTCACCCCCCACAGCACACACTTAAAACAGGGCCTGGCCATGTGACCTCCTCGATCAATGAAAAAGCAGCAGAAGCGGCATGTCATTTCCGAGCAGAAGCTTTGAGAGCTGGTGACGCACACGCTGCCACACTTTCTGCCGCTGCTGGAGTGGCCGTGGGAGTGTGTCTCCAGCTGGAGCCTCCCTCGGCTGGGTCCCCAAGAGACCACAAAGAGCAGGGGCCCCCCTGGTTATCACCCACACTGCATACGAGCAAGAAGTAAACTTTCGCCATGTTAAACCACCGAGATTCTGGGGCTGCTTGTTACACAGCAAACCTGGCCGGTCCTAACAAATACGGGACCCAACGTTTGTTGAACGTGTTGGAGACAGTAAGCCCCGGGCCTTGGTCGTCTGAGGATGTTTCCTAGAAGCAAGTTTCTAACTCAGAGCAAAGACGTGCGAAGCATATACAAAAATGGTGGCTACTGAGTAAAATCTAGAAGCGCCGTTTTACCTCTCAGGAGTGCAAGGTGCAGCACGAGTTAGGGACCCGCTAAGGGCTGTTTACTGGCCGCATGGCTAAATCGACTATGGATTCTAAGCCCTGCTCTGGCTTTTAATGCCTGTGGGTCATGTCACCTGGTCATTCAGAGCTTTCTGAGCCCACACTGCAGCCGTCACAAGGGGATGCTGACAGGAACCACTACGGAGGCGCTGGGATTATTAGAAGAGTTAATGAATAAAACTGCTGAGCATGGGGCCTGGGACACAGCGAGAGCTCAGAACGCTAGTCCTGATTTTTATTATCGTCATCACTGATAACTGTGTACTCAAAGGGATACTTAAATAATAATTCGAATAGAGTAAGTGCATCGGAGACTGCTAGTTACTACCCAAAGCCCATTCTCCACCTTGTTCATGACGGAGCCCAAACCTTCCTCAGGGCATCAACTCACCAGCTGAAAGGCTGCACTTTGCAGCTTCTCTTGCAGCTGGGTGTGGCCGCACGACCAAGTTCTGCCATTGGAAAGTTAAGTGGAAACTGGTTTCTCCACCCTGAAGAGGGAGACAGCTGGGACACGCTGTTTTGCCCTCAACTTCCCTACCTTCCCCCCCAACCCCCACTTCTTCCTTCCTCCCGTGCTGCCTGGAAAGTAGATGTGATAGCCGGTGCTCCTATGAGAATCCAACGTCCGGTGACCTGAGGCGGAGCTGAGGCGGGGACGCTGGCACCGGGGAGCGGCTGCAGACGCAGATGAAGCTTCCTCCCTCGCCGCTCACCTCCTGCTCTAATGAAGCTTCGCTCACCTGCCGCTCACCTCCTGCTCTGCGGCCGGGTTCCTAACGGGGGTTGGGGACCCCTGCTGTCGCAGCTATCTGGGCCCGTGTGGTAATCTTGAGTATGGAAACGCGCCCTAAGAATGCTAAACCTCCCAGGTTACCAGGGGTCGAGATTAAGAAAACTCAGGCGACTGAAGAGTAGTGCCAGAGTCACATTCGTACTCGGCCTGCGCAGCGGCCATGCTCCCTTCCTCCAGCCACAGGTGCCAATTGTCTAAGTCCGGCCGCAATCATGTCCTTTGGGCCTGGATCAAGCCGCACCTGAATCCGTCCTTAGAGTTGGCAGTTATATGAGCCAAGAAATTCTCTATTTTACTTAAGCCAGTATGAGTTAGGTTTTATGTCATCTATACCCACAGTCCCTGGTGCCCCTGGCCAACTCCAAAAGTAAGCTGGCAACTGGTTTCCAGGATGTGTCAACGGAGGACAAGACACAGGCCCTGGCTTCTTACTGGGCCGTACTCACCTCGGCAAACAGCCCGAACTTGCCCTTGAAAGGGAACATGTTTGGGAAGTACTTGTTGATGAGCTGCATGAGGGGGTCCTCGTAGCCCCACATGATCTCGCCCACGGTGCGGTTCATGAAAGCACGCTCATTAAAGGTGGTGAAAAGCAAGGTCATGATCAGCTTCAGGCTCATGGGCTTATCCTCCATCATCACCGATGCACCCTGCAGGGCAAGGATGCAGCCTGGGTTAGAGGCTGGACAGACTCAGCCCATCCCCATGGACTGGAAGCCAGGCCTCGAAGCAAGGAACCTAGCCAGAGAAACGTTCGGGCCAAGCAGGGCCCCTGCAGTGGACACAGGGGGCACCTGGGGCATCCAGAACCATTCCTGATCCTCTGGTAATAGGACCATGTGGCTCTTGATTTCATACTAAGTCCAACCCCCCTCCCCACCCTGTAGCTCATACCTGGCCAATCAGAAACTTTCCTTCTCTAGCTATAGTGATTGGTCTGAAAATGTGTATGTGGCTCAGTCAGAGCCAACAAGCCCCAAGGAAATGATCTGCTAGGGCTGGGGGTGTAGAGAGGGGAGGTCACACTGCTGGCCTTGAACTTCGGATGTGGAGGGCTGTAGTCAACCCGAGGGGCCAGTCCGCTAGAGCATAAAACCAACACAGATCTGGGCAATGCTGTCTGCACCCTGGGTCGAGCTGCACCTCAAGCAGCACAACCCCTGCCCTTCAGTAACATGAGCCCATCCTTTCCCGTTTTGCTTATGCGAGTTTGGAGCACCTTCTCCTGTCACCGTGAGACCCAAAGACTCTTAACGGAGACTGTACTCCATTCCCTTATCATCTCTCCCCCAAACACAGATCCTCCAACTGTGCCACTCCCTACAGCCCTTTTGCTGGCTGTATATTATTCCCTCGTCTGCGACCCCCGCCTCCTTTTGCTGGCTGTATACTATGCCATTGCCTGCCCCAGCCGACGATCATGATGGAATCCCGCATGAGGCACATTTAGGTAGTTTCTACTAGGCGTTTCCTCGGACAACACCGAAATGGATCCAAAATGAACATCCTTGAATACAAACGTCTTTGCCCATATCTGTTATTCTATCGAGAGGTCAAATTTTTACACATGAAATCACTCAGATCGAAGGCATGTGCGATTTATGTTGAAAGTCACTATCTTCCAACAGCTCACTCTTTACGACTGATAATAAGACACCTGTTTCCAGCAACACTCCAGAGCCTTGGGTGTTGTTATCTGCAGCGTTTGCCAACCCGATCGCTGGGGGAAAGAGACTTCACTGTCAAAATGTGCCTGTCTCGCTCTGAGGGACGTGGCTGCAAGGCCTCAGGCTGCATCTGTGTGAGCTGCTTCCGTCCTGTCTATCCAGCAGACTCAGAAACGAGTCCACTCCTGGTCCAGAGCACTGTCCCGGGCCAGGCCCAGAGCAAAGGCCCAATGATGGCCGACTACGTAGACGACGGATCAGGTGGAGGGCTGAGTGCAACGGAGGGGGGCTCCCGACCCAAACTCTGTGTGTTCAGACCCCTAATCTCCCCCTCACTTGCTGAGTGACCTGGGGTAAGTCGGTTAACTGCTCTGGCCTTCGATTTTCCTCCTCTAGAAAGGGAGAAAGTGACAGACCTGCCCCCACCGGATTGCGGACCCATGAACGAGGTAAAATACATAAACCCTGGGACCATTAAATCCTAACACAGAGTGTGAGCAGAAAATGTGAGCACACATGGCAAGTAGTCAATCCAGCTATCGCTGACCCTTGCCGGCACAGAACAGAGACCCGGCTCACGCCTCCCCACAATGACACAAAGACACGGCCTGGGGCGTGACGCTCGGCCCCCCGTTAGTACCTCCTTTTGGAAATTTCAGACTTGTAGATTGCTAAGGGAAGGACAACAATTTTGGCCAGGACCCCCAAGCCAGAGACGGGTGGACGTGTGGGAAACTCACCGGGCTGAGTGGAGCCGTGAGCCACAGGCTGGCCCCGCAAAGGGGCCGCGCTGCGCGGGGCGGGCACGGGGA